AGACAGACAGACAGACAGACAGACAGACAGACAGACAGAAGTATGGTGAGTTTGGAAATTCATATGGAGGATATCTTTTCAATGGAGTGATTTTAATGTTATTAAGGGTGAGTTCTCAATAGAAGAAGGAAATCTTCTAATATCAAGGCAGATGTTTTTATTTATAGTTTGAAAATATGCCCTATCTTATTGCCTTGATTTATTTTTGAGCTATAATGCTTAATTTTCAATATTACTCTGGGTTGGCAGAAGTCATTAAAAGGCATAGAATAAAAAGAATGCGGTAAACCTATGGAGTGAAGTGTAGTAGAAAGAAGGACTTCAAATGAAGCACTAGAAGGTTCAGTCTTTGATCTGTTTGTGGGGGGACAGTTTCTAGCAATCTTGCTGAAGTCCTTTAACTCATTAATCCCAATTTCTTCAGCTGTAAAGTGAAGATAGCAGTAACAGTCAAGTTGGGATAAAGCAAAATAAAATGTACATGTCCATAACATGCCTAATGGGTAGCTATGCCTAATAATTGTCTTCCTCTTTTATAATAAGATAGCTTAAAGGTTAAATACACATCATAATGTGAAAAATTGGCTTCTAAATATTAAAAATGTTCTATGAGAATATAATTTTCACATTGCCTCCAATATTAATTATATTTACAGCATGGTGCAATCTCTGTATTTGCTACATAAAAAAGAACACAAAGATATTGGTACACTATGGTTAAATGTAAAATTCTACCATGGATTTAAAAATGAGGTGAGAGATTAAAAAAGCAAGGAAGACAAAAAGCCAAGCTGCAGCTTGAAAAGAGATTAATTACACAACATCCCTGCCTTCTGTGCTGGGACTGGAAATGTTCATATTTTCAAAGAAGTCCTTGACAAGCAGGACTGAATGGCAGGCCCATTAATGTATCAGATGATAAATTATTTAATTAAGGCTAAGATCAGAAAGGGCCCTTAAAGACTCCCAGAACATACAAAATAGATTACATAATTGTGAAACAAACATAGTTAATTGAACAAAATGGCAGTAGATGAAATTAAACATAGACAAGTGCTTAGTAGGGTGCACTAAAGACAGTGATATAAATCACTAATACACATTGAACGCCTCGAATTGACTTTAAGACCTCTAAGGGCACTTAACTTAGAGGTATCATGGGTTAGTTACAGCAAAAGCTTGCCTGGAAAGTGGTTGGGTCTCTGCTCAATCCCTGGAAAGGATGAGATGTGGGAAGGTGCCCTGAGGGAGACAGCTGATTTCATTGGTAACATGGCATGTCTTTCCTCCTATGACATATAGGGTGCCTACAGGACAGCCTTTGTCTGTGGTCACTGTGCTGCTTGCTCTCTGCTTCCCAATAAAATGTGCTGTTTCACAAAAAAAAAAAAAAAAAAAGCTTGCCTGGTACATAAAAACTGAAGAGTAGGAACATTTCTTATTGAATGGATTATTGTTACATTCTTAAAAATATTCCACTTATGTTTGTAGAGACAAACAAATGTTCACAAAGACAAATGGGAAAATACTTAGAAAATTGTCAATTGTACTATGATGCAGTGACTGGAAAAAGTACACAAATAAAATTTGTGTAGAATGTAGAGTCTGTGCCAAGCACTGGGTTAGCATAATGACTGGCATGACTCTTCCCAGGTTTTGCCATTCTCTCTATTGAAATCTTCAGCTCTGTGCTATTTAATACACCTCCATTTTGGGCAGGGGTAAGGGGACAAGATGCTGCCAACAGCATGGATTAATCTATAATATTAAAATTGAAACCTCAGTTCAAATGCTTGATGGTGAAGCTGTTCAGGGCAGACTTGTGTTGTTGAAGCTCAATTTGTCAGAATCTTGCCTTTTCTCTCTCAAAAGTTCTCTCCGCATGCAGTTATATTTGTTTACGCCCTTTAAGTGTTCAGAAACCTGTTAGTAAGAAGCGAGGTAGAACGCATCTGATTCTATCAAGGATGTGAAAATAAATATCCCATTCTTTGCACCTGGAATGAGGTAAACTTGAAATACATGTTTCTTACACTGTGCCATGTTGGAGTTTTGTGAGGTGTGACTAAATAAATAAGAAAACTCCTGGAATATAACTCATTTTCTGAGACATTTCTGTTTTACAAAGTCTGGCCAACATTTTTTTTTTTTTTGGCGATCATTTAATAGCAACTTTTGACCATTTGTTTTTATATTTCTCTTTTTGCTGATTTCCTTTTCTGTTTTTAAAAGTAATATGGGGTCATCATAGTAAATGTGGAAGAATAAAAAATTGTAATGAATATAACTTGCTCATGTCTTCACAAGCTAGACTAAGTGCTAACACTTGAGTTACTTTGTTTTATAATCCTCAGATCTTCAGTGATCCTTCCCTGGAGGATGACCCCCAAACCCATCTTGTTAGTTTCAAGTTATGCCTTCCTTGTTGGGCAATTCTCTGTCCTCTCAAATTCAGTAGGTCCCAAATTGTCTTCACCTTTTTCTTCTGGAATGTACTTCTAACATGCCCATTTTCTATTAAAGGTACTAAAACAGTCTGACTAATGTGGATTAGCAGGTTTTAAATCATCTTGCATGTCTCCCTCTTCTTATCCTCTGCTTTTAATAACTTACATGCTCCAGTGGTATAATTTTTGTCAATGCTATTTACCTTTGTGCCTTTCCAGTCCTTTTGGAACAACCCCTAAGTAAAGCCTGCTTCAGAGAAGTGCTTGTTCTGTTGGTGTGGACTCCACTGTCACCTTCTATTGCCCCTTCCCTCACTTAGACAACCATGGCATTCGTGTGTGTCACGGCATTCTTATAAACAGAGTCCAACTGAGATGAAGCTGGCCTCAGATTCCCTTTGGAACTGTAGCATGTCAGTACTGAAAAAAGCTTTCATCTGAGAAGGAAAATGAGCCTTAAAGAGATTTCCTGGTGTCAGGTAACTGTGAGTAGCAACGGAGTCAGGCGTCCTAACTTCTAGGGCTATTTCCATTCAACTACATCTTCTCCAAAGCTTATGTGACATGTGCCAATTAAACACCAAACCATTTTACCCAGCAATTCCATCTTTTACAATGCAATTGTCAGTTTGTGCTTCTAGCTTTCTCCTCCTTGGCTCCCGAATGCCCCTCAAGGCTCCCCCTGAATGGCCCCTGCTGTTCTCCCTGTCAGGTGGCATACCTGCCTCTCCCTTGCCTGCCCACACTGCAACACATGAGAAGCTTCTTGTGAGTCAAAGTCAAGTTTAAACCCAACTTCTTTAATCAAGTCTGTCTCGAAGTCCCTCTTTTTAGATAGCCTTTGTTTCACCTTAAAAGTTTCAAAGCACCCAAACCATAGTTACCATTTCAAGTAATGTAGATTTTACATAAAAGTGCCAATTTTA